TACTTGATACTTTCCCCATTTAAATTGTATTAGAGCATCGGAGGGGAGGAGAATGACGTATCTATGACAATTGTTAATATAATAAAAAGATGTCGCCCTTTAATCAAAAATTCGCACGTCCAAACGTGTGTTAGTTCCTGAGTACGTTTTTGTCTGATTACCCTGTATATCAGTAAATGTTTAATCTTCCGTATAGATAGTTGAGTTATAAAAGTAGTAAATGTAGCTGGTTTATCTTAAATAAACAATATGCCTAAAGTTATTTCAACAGATTAATTAATTTAATCTGGTATATAGTCGATTTCAGAGCTAAAAATATGCAGGTAGGTATTCAAAATAGATCAATTTTAGGCTCGAAGGACAAAAGGAATAAGGACAACTAAAAGGTTGATATTCTAGCCCGAGAAGGAATCTGAAAGGTTCTGAATGGTCTAGAGTCCCCTAATAAAAATAATCGTCAGAACAGGCACAAATTATTGCACTCAGGAATGGTGGAATGACTCATCAGTACACAAACAAGTCAAGTACTAAAAGAAAGATGGCCAAAATGTAACAGAGTATCAATAGAAAAGACGAAAATCCTCAGCAGCATTTCAGTATAATCTGCAGAATTGCTTTAAATGATACCAGCACTATATACAACTCTATATTTCATCTCATAAATGAAGTGTTTTCAAATTTGTTTAATATTATAATCATATTATTGTCGTATTATTATGATTTTTGTTTTCAAAAACTGCATGGCAAGTAATTATGCTAATGAATACTAATTTGATAAAATAACAAATTGCAATTTGTGCTCTTGGATCATTTATCAATATCATCATCGTTTTTATTTCGGTATGTACTTATACAAGGTGGCTAGACGAAAACATACTAGAGCCATTAGCAGGAACTGCGTCAACATTTTAGACAAACGCTTGGACATGTAAATTTTGTATTAAATCGGGACATCTTTCTATCATATCTTCAACTGTCATACGTCATTTCCCTTACCTCCGTTAATCTGATCAATTCAATTTTTAATAGAGAAAGTACCGAGCATGATACATCATTGAGGAGGTAATTTTATAGAGATCAGCAATATGACTATTTATTACGTTGCCTTTGTTTTTTAGAGATTCTAGCCGGATGAAATACCGTAACGCTAGTAAAACATGGTTTTTAAGTTTAACATGCCCTGCATCTCAAAGATCAGAGGAGATTGGACTCCACATCTTCCAAAATTGTATGAGAACTTGAGAATTATTTTCATTAAAACGTAAGTTTATTTGAGAAATAAACAAGAAGCAACAGTGTCCCTTGCGGCGGGTCCTTTTTGCCCACAAATCTCTGTTTTCTACCTGTGTAAGTAAAGGGGTGCGTTAATCTTACTGGTATTTTGCCCACAGTAGCATTCAGGTACCTAAACCCGCAAATTACATCCGCCCACAAATAGGTACCTACCTGATTATTAATAATTCTAATAGGTACTTACTTTGGGTGTTTACTGTTTATATTTCAGTCAGTTTTTATACGTTGATGATTGTAATTCGAGTGTTTATAAACAATAATTATTTCTATAATGTCAGCTACATTGATTAAAAGCACACGCGGGAAAGATGTACTCCTTTTGGAGAATTTTACGTTTGCCAAAGATAGAGAAATGAAAAGTGAAGAAGTTTCTTGGAGATGCTCCCAAAGAAAAACAAATGCTTGTAATGCCACTGTATTTACAATTGGTCCTGAACTTTTAGTATCCAGAGGCAACCTAATTCATAGCCATGAAGCAAATGAACCGAAATTAAACAGGAAAATTATTTCTAATTCGTGTAAGCGAAAAGCAGTTGATGATATTTCGGAAAAACCTTCTAAAATTATCCGTAAAGTACTTGCTACTAATTTACCAGAGTCACTAACTACAATTGATGTGTCCTACATAAGAAAAACTATATACAACAGTCGTCGCAAAATACTACCAGGTCCATTACCTACAAATATACAAGAAGTGCATAATGCAGTTGACTTATATTCTAATACATTTAAAACCAGTAAAGGTGAACATTTTCTTTTAATAAATAGCAGAGAAAATAATATTATTGTATTTACATGTGAGACAAATATTCGTACTTTGTGTAAAATGAACGTCTTGTATATGGATGGAACATTTTCGTATTGTACAAAGTTTTTCCTACAATTATTTACCATTCATGGGCTGTGTAATGGACACTATGTGCCCCTGGTATATTGTTTATTACCAAACAAATCTACCGATATATACAAACATTTGTTTTCGTTATTGCATTATAAAATTTTGGAAACTTACAGTATTGCTTTAAATCCATCTAAAGTGTTCGTTGATTTTGAAATAGCAATTCATAAGGCGTTAATTTATATGTGGCCTAATACTGTAATCAATGGCTGCCGATTTCATCTACATCAAGCGTGGTATCGTAAAATTCAGTCTCTGGGATTAATGACTGAATATACAACTAACAGTGATACCGGAAAATGGCTTAAAACATCATTTGGGTTGACATATTTAAACGCCGATGAAGTTGGAGACTGTTTTGTATTTGACTTAATGGCAAGTAAACCAGAAAATGCCGTTCTCGATAGGTATGCCGATTACCTATTAGAAACATATATTGGAGAAAATTCTACATTTCCACCAAGTATATGGGCAGAAAAAACAGCTTCAATTACAAGAACTACAAATGCCTGTGAGTCGTTTCATTCAAGGTTTAATTCTTCATTCTACTGTACACATCCTTCTGTATATATTTTTATAGAAAAGCTTAAAGACTTTCAAATCGACACGTATGTCACAATACAAAGCTTAAGTATACCTAAGAAAATCAAAGACAAAAGTGTAAAACAAAAAATTCAGTGTTTAGAAAAATTTATACAGCGATTTGATCTGCAGCAAATCAGCAGATTAGAGTATATAAAATTTGTATCACATTTATCCCTCCCAGTTGAAAAATATGTAAATAAAATATAAATATATAAAAAATATAATATAACTTATGTATACTTACTATTTTATAATAATAAAAATTAGTGTTTAAATATAATTTTTAGTTTAATTAATAATGTGTTTTTACTTTTCGATAATATATAAAAAATAATAAATGAAAGATATATCTATTATGATTTATTCAGTTAGAAATAAATTTGGGCAAAATACCAACAGGATTAAGATGACCTTTTACTTGCTGTGGGCAAATTACCTATAGGATTAGCAGCTTTAAATATTTTGTGGGCAAATTACCTCCGCCCGTCCCTTGACGGCTGGTATCTTTAGCTTAGTGATTAATTTAAATCTTGCGTTTTTCAAATGTAAACTAATTATAAATTACGATAATTCTAATGCCTATGGGATTACCCAGTCGACCATTTATGTTGGGTTGTGATTGACAATACTGTTTCCCAATGAGACATTTTAAATGAGTTATGAAAAATGAATTTATTATTTTCATTTGCATCGTGCTGTATAATCGCACTTAATAGTCTAAGCCTGCCACGGGTTTAGATCCCCAAAATTTCTTTTCCTCCGATAACAAAGTCAATTTCCTTAAATAACTACTAATGATTTCCGCTTAGTACTTTCTAAAATATTAAATACACATTAATCCATCAAAATTAATATGAATCGCACCCATGATTTTGGTTATGATGCTTCGCAAACGCTCACAACGAATTATATATGTTCATATCGACCTCCTTGGAGTCAAGAAATCGATTACAAACATTAAAATAGGAAAAAGTTGAAAGTTTGTTTGCAATACAAAACAAAATACGCCAAAAGCATTTAAATTGGATTTTTATGACTTAGATTTTACCATGTCGCTATCCATCCTACTTCACTGTGCATGCCTAATCAATTTTTATGCGTCTTTGATTTTTTAATTCTGTGTAATTCCGGCCATTTTTAAACAGTCTATTGCATATTTAAATAGTTAATTGATTGGCTGCTATTAATTGGAACCTTCAAGAATTACCTAACGTACAGAAGTTATTTATAACATAAATACTAAATAATAACTGTAATAAATTTAATACATTAGCTTTATCGATGTATCTCGAGCATTCGACAAAATTTGGCAATAAATCGCAAAGTTATAGTATCAAAATCATCACATCGAAAGTATGGCAGTATATTTTATCTCTGATAGATTATGCAGAATTAAGCAACATTTTAAATTATTAGATAAATTGGAAGAAGTGAAAGCAGGTGTGCCTCAAGGATTTGGTCTTAGGGGTTTTTGGTACTTATATTAAAGGATTCTACATACTGAAGTCTGTTTTGATTAATTTACTGTAAAATATTTGCCAAAGAAACATTGCCATGAATCTTATAGATATTTTTTTTTAATAATACTTCTTTACTGATTTTTCCCAGTAAAACCTATTATTTTACAGGGTGAGTCACAAATTACTGAACATTTTATTTTTACTCTAGCGTGGGATTCATATTACGCTGAAATAGCCTTGTAATAAAAAAAAAGCTTATAGATA